TAAAAATAATAAATGATAAATATTTTTGAAAGGAGTTGAAAAACTTTCACTAAAACTTACATATCATTGTAAATATTTTAGAATAGGCAAGACAAAGTTGGAGAGCTTATTTTACCTGATTTTAAGAGTTACCATAAAGTATGGAAATCAAGAACCATGACATTAAGAAACACAAATAACTAAGTAGAAAAGAAAGTTCAGAAATAGATCCACACATATATAAGAATTTTTTGTGTGTATTCATTTTCAAATTCATGTGTGTTTTTGTGTCCATGTGTCTATGTACATGTTTGTGTGTGTGTGTAGAGGTCAGTGGTGTCCTCCACCTTATTATCTATTGAGGCAGGGTCTCTCACTCAAACCCTGAACTCCTCGATTCAGCTCGTCTAGCTAGCCAGCTTATTCTGCTGAAGCGCCGTCTCCACTTACTGAGCTCCGGGACTGTGGGGTGGCCTACCCCATACTTGTGTAGGTACTGGTGATTTGAACTTTGCCCTTGGTGCTTGTGTCACAAGTACATGTCCACGAGACATCTCTGTAGCCCTATTAATAATATTTGAGAAAGGCGCCACTGTAGTTCAATGGCAGAAAAGTGCAGTCAGTAAATCATATCGGATATAGAAAAAAACTTTGATTATTCCTCACGTTTTATATATGCACTAATTTAAGACAGCTCAAGGACTTAAATGTAAATGTAAAGTCTTAAGTTATAAACAATAAGAATAACATGTATAAGGAATTCTTTGTGATTGGAGCTTTGACAGTGAAACTATTTTGTAGGATACTACATTGTGGGATACATAGGCTTGTACATTTCTTAAAGTCCATGGAACGTACAAATATTGTGACAATTCCTTCCTTGGAGAGATATATAATAAGATATATAAACAATGTATACCCTTCTTCATAAGGTCCCAATGACAAACCAAAGTACCATTCTACCACAGTGCACCCTGGGAAACCAATGAATTCATCAGGCTTACTTACAGAGAACAAGTGAGGGATTATAGGAGTGTGGGAGACCCCAAGGCGGCCACCCTGTAAAGTCTTCACACAGAAGGAATGATAGATTCGCCATAGTCCTACAGATGGAGTTCCCTGTAGTTAATCTCCCTAGTCTATACACTTGAGTACCCAGAGGCCATGTCCAATTAAGGCAGAATTGCTTACATGCTGGGAGGAGTGGTTGGACTCTCAGGTAAGAATCCAATGGTCCTCCCCAATTACTTCTCTAAAGAAATATGCACAGCTAATGGACCATTGGCTACAGTCTTTGCAAGCAGGCATAGCTGATCTGGTGTGAACAGTGGCTGTCTTGTTTGGAGAACCATGTTCTACAACACTGAGACTGGACCAAATGTAAACTGATGTGACTGGGTTTCCATGCAGGTTCACTGTTTGTAACAAACTGTTTGTAACTGTGTGGGTCATGGATAGTGATGGGAGTCATGTATGGGTAGGAGCAGGGGACGCATGGCAAATAACTCCATGTAATTTCAAGTCATTTTGGCTACAGACCAAAAGATGCTTCAAAGAGTGAAGTCAAGGGCTGGGGAGATGACTCAGGTGATAGAGTGCTTGCTTAGTGTATACGAAGTCCTGAGTTTGATTCCCAGGTCTGATCACTGTACAAACTGTGAGTGGTGACACATGTCTGTGAGCCCAGCGCTTGGAAGTTAGAAGCAGAAGGATGATAAGTTCAAGGTTATTGAGTTTAAGGCCAGCCTGGGCTACAAGAGACTCTGCCTGAATAAATAAATAAATAAATAAATAAATAAATAAATAAATAAATAAATAAATAAATAATAAGAAACATAAACATGAGACTCTGCCTCAATAAACAAACAAAGAAAGAAATAAATAATAAAGTTTATTAAAAATCAGAAACATAAACACATCCAATCAAACGAAAAAACAAAACCAGCTGGGAAAAGAAGGCCAGGCTGCCTACAAAGGAGTAACTATTAGACTGCTGTCTGATTTCATGTCACCAACAGTGGAAGGCAGAGCCACTCCACTACTCCAGTTGCTGAAAACAAACAATCCACCCAACATTCTGTGTCCAGTGAAAACATTATCTAACAGTGACATTGAAAGAAAAATATTTATATCAAACCAAAGCTAAGATGACATATTTGTTACTTTTCTATGGTTATGATAAACATCATGACCAAGCTATTTGTAGAAAGAGGGTTCATTTTGGACTTATGGTTCCTGAGAATTAGAGTCCATGATGGCAGAGCAAAGGCGTGGCTGTGGGAGCAGCTGAGAGCTCACATCCCCAGCCTAGAGGAAGGCAGAGAGAACACTGGGGATGACAGGAGGAGTCTGAAACCTTAAGCCAACCCTAAGGACACACTTCTTCCAACAAGGCCACACCTCCTCCTTCCCAGACACTTCTACCATCTGGTGACCAAGTATTCAAATGCCTAAGATTACTGGGGGACATCTAATCCAAAGCACCCCAAACAGTTTGTTCCAAGAAGACTCAAAAGGATGTATTTCAGGCAGAATGGAGGTGATGTACAACAGGGTGTCAGAGATAAAGGAAATGAAGATCAGAAGAATCACTTTGCAATGTGATTTTACCAATTCTTTTATTTTAAAAGATGGAGTCTATTTCACCATTGAGTAGGAAAAAAAATCAATGCTGACCCAGTTTCTCCTATTTTGTTTTTTAAGAAGTTGGCCTTTAAAAAAGGATTTTCTTCTTAATTACACGTTTACATATGTGTGCCCACATATGCATATGAACACGTGAGTGCAGGTGGCATCGAGGCAGTTGCTGAAGTTACAGGTGGTTGTGCGAGGCTGGGTGTGGATTCTGGGGACCAAATTGGGCTTCTCTGTAAGAACAGCATAGTACATACTCTTAACCCCTGCCATCTTTTCAGCCCCATCTCCTGACCCTCTTTATGCAGATATATATTTCTAATTGACCTCATCTTTTGTGAGTCATATGGGTCAGGGCCCCACAAAAACAGGGAAGCTGTACCCACCATCTCTACACTATGGTTGCTTAAACAATTCCCACATAATAACACCAATTAGCATCCCAATATGAGTGGGAGAATTTCATAAGGCTCTACCCTTAGATCAAGAGCTACATGGGTACTGAGAGAAGGAGAATCAGTTTTCTCAGAGATAAGCTCCCTGATAGATTACCCCAAGGGGCCAGTCCTAAAGGCATGTACATATATAAATGGACTCAATGGGTTGATATGAGTGTGTGTGTGTGTGTGTGTGTGTGTGTGTGTGTGTAATAATTAAAGAAGAAGAGGTCATGAATTTGAGAGGGAGGTGGTGGTGAGATGGAGGAGTTGGAGGTGAGAGAAAGAGGGGTAGAAATGGTGTATGCAATATTCATGCTAAAATTCCCAAAACATAAAAAAATTAAGTTAAAAGTAAGGGGAATGATGATAATATAAATAAATCATTTAACAAAACAAATAAGAATAGCCTTACAAACTAGCATATATGATATATCACACACACATATATATATATCATGATATATATGTCTACATATATGATAGAGTTGCTGAATTTGATAAGCAAATAACTTAAGCAAATAATGCGAACAAGACACAAGAGATTGGCAAGATAAAAGTCAGTTTGATCTTTGATCAGAAATACCTCAGTTTAGAAGCTAAATAGAGTAAAACCCAGCCTGCGATGTCCACTCAACTTGATAAGGCCAAGTCTCTGTGTTCTCAAATATATGGGCCTCGGGTCAATGTCTATAAAACCTCCTTCAAGCTTCAAAGGTGTTAAAGAACATCCTTCGGATGGGAGTCTCAAGCTTGTTTATACTTATGCTTTTGACCAATTGATTCAATTAGATTGCTTGAACGGCTCACAGATCTCAAGAAAACCCCTAGACATACTTACTAGCAGATTACGAGGGGTATTCCAAAAGCTGTGAATGAAGAGTTGCATAGGACCAGCTGTGAGGGAGAGGCACAGAGCATCCATGCCTTGGAAGGAGCATCCCCTTTGAGAAGCCTCCATGTGTTCAGCTACCCAGAAGTGTTCCATCCTCATGAAGACTTCATCGCATAAGCATGATTGAAACATGGATAACCACGTAAGACATGGCTGGACAAGAAGATATGTTCTAGAGTGCCTAGCCTGGGTAGAGAAGTGTAGCAAGGCTGCCAGTGTGATTCTGCAGCATCCCTGGAGAGTCTAGACTAGGGCCCTTTCTCAAGTTCAGGTATTACGTCGAACAGGATGGGTAAGTTTCTTTATGTCCACTGCCTCCATGACTGAAAGGGGTGTGTGTGTGTGTGTGTATGTGTGTGTGTGTGTGTGTGTGTGTTGGAGACAGGGGTAGTTTCTATGTCCAGCTTCAGGGAAGATAAACTCTAGTTGCTGTAGCTTGCTTTGAGGATGAAAAGGAAGCTAGGAACCATGTATCATATACATATACATATACATATACATATACATATGTGTGTGTGTGTGTATGTGTGTGTGTGTGTGTGTGTGTGTGTGTGATAATTTCTATGCTTTGATTTTTGTCTCTGCTCAGTTCCTGCCCAAACCAGGGGGGTAGGGCAGAAGTGAGTCTAATAATGTGCTAACTCTAAGCCTAACAATCAAGCAGTCTTACACACTTTCTCTCTTTATCTTGGATCTCTGCACTGCCGTGGTAGCAAGCCCAGGCTGGCCTGCTGGAGGATGAAAACTACCTAGAGGTGCTGACTGGCCCTGACAGCATGCTCATGTCAGAGCTTAGCTGAGACTGCTTACATTGGCCTAGACCAGAGAAGCCACTGTGCCTATCCACAGTCTTACGGACAATAACATGTGCCTAGGATTCCCAGCCACTAAATTGTGAGGTGCATTATCCAGTTAGGAGCACCAAGAGTTAGCAGCCTCTCACAAGGGCATAAATAATATTCCGAAGGTGAGAAAACAAGATAGAAAATTCTGTATCAGAATAGTCACATGAGCAGAAGTAAAGTGTTCTAAGGTTTAAAACAAAGGCTTATCTTTCCACATGTAGTAGGAAATAAGTAAGTGCTTTAGAGCCGGTGTAGTTGATCGCCGGATTTTTGGGGACCCATTTTCCTTCCTACTAAACCTAGTTTAAGCCATCATCACCATTATACTTACAAAGGGCTGCTGTGTCTCCAAGAGCTGCAGCCACATTCCGGGAAGAAAGAGAGTGAGAATGTGGTGTGTTTGCCTCTTGTTTAAATGGTGTTTTAGTCAGGGTTCTCTAAAGGAACCGAACTGATAGACTACGGATGTGTGGGTTTATTAGAATATCCTGCAGGATGTGCGTAGTCCAACACTGGCTCTGTCACACTGGAGAGGCTGAGAATTCAGGAGTTGCTCAGTCTCCAGGCTGGATGTCTCAGCAGTGCCAGTCTGGTGTTGAAAGCCTGGAGGATTCCTGGAGAACTGCTGGTCTTCGGTCTGCATCGGCTGCCCAGAGAAGCTGTTTCTAAGGTTGGTGAAGAAATGCTACAGCAGTGGGGTCCAGGAACTTGCTGGTGGAAGCAGGCAAAACAAACAGAAAAAAGAGAACACCACTGGACAATGCCATTTAGGGTGAGTCTTCCCACCCAATAACCCGACTGAGAAAGTCCCTCACAGGAGTGGCTAGAGGCTTGTGTTTTAGTAGATTCCAAATCCAGTCGAGTTGACAACCCAGGTCAGACACCACAAATACAGGGAAACACACTCAGCTGGGAAGGAAATGGTTTCCTGTTCATGTTTTGCTGGACTGAACCTGCTGCCTGCTCACATAGGTGTGGAGCTGAACAAGTTGAGATGCCCCCACCCCGCCCCCACCCCCGTGAATTGCTTTCCCTAAAGAAGTTAGGATTCTGTTACCAAGCAAATCTAGGAATGGACACGGATGAAGCAACTAGCACCTTTTGCTCTTTATCTCGGAGAAAGTATCTTACTTAAGAGAATCATCCAAAAGGAAAAACAGCCGATGTAAAGACAGAGGTTTGACTGTGTAGAGGGTGAGGTGCTGGAGTAACTTCCAGGCTGAGCCCCACAGATGATCTGCCAAGTGATGATCCTCTTTCTCTTCCCCGTTAAGAAATTAGAGCGAACATTCTATTGGCCTTTTGAGAACCTGTGGAGATTAAGATGGGGATGGACATTTGTAATTGATTCCCTATGTGCAACCATTCATTGAGGCCTCACAGCCAAACTGTGTGTAGGGAGGTAGGTGGGAGTTGTGTGCCTGTGTGCCTGTGTGGGGGTGTGGGGAGGTGGAATGAGTGTTGGATTTAGGGAGTGAGTAGAAATCAGGCAGGTCACAGATCCATATCCAGAAAATGTCTAGGGTGACTAGGGTCTGTAGGTCTCCAAGGCTGGAGGCTTCCTCCCACTGCCCAACCTTTCTCAAAACAAACCTGGGTTCATTCATTTCACTGTATTGAAGTAAGTCAATGTCTTCTGAAGTGGCCAGGTGTCCTGTGCAGCAGACCCTCCAGAGAAGTTGATTGGCAAGGTAGATTCTTGGACTGCCTCCAGAGGAACTTAAGCAGGCTTTCCAGGACCCGGACCCAGCATCTGCATCAGAAAAACTGCAAATAGAGAGTCCCAATTTTAAGCTGACAGTTTAGTGTTCCATTCTAACACAGTTATTTTCAGATCTGTAGCTCATGGAAATTTCCCCCAATATTAGGAAGACACAATTTAAAAATAGTCTGTTTCTCCTTCCTGTTCCTCAGTTTCCTAGTGAACACACTTAGTTCCATGGAAAATGTTCAGGACCTGGACGTGTGTCACAGAAGAAATCCCCGAGTTGATAGTACAGGTTTCATAAGGCAAAGGGTAGAGTTAGACTCAGGGTTAACATCATGCAGAGGGGATGGGCAAAGGAACTGGTATTAACTAAATATTTACTATGTCCCAGACACCGTTCCAGACACATTATGTCATTAAGGAACCCTGGCCTTGTGATTCAGTCCCTTTCATTTATAAGTGGGATAGGTGCTTTTATTGTTTGCTACTCACTAATAAAGATAACCAGAGAAAAATCCCATGAGAATAATTATTCCTGTATTAAATAAAAATCTCCCGAGATCTTATGCAAGACACACACTAGAATAGGAAAAGTAGAGTGGGGGGAGGGGCATCTTGGCACTTATCTGTAACCCCAGTGGGGGATGGGGTGGAGGGGGTAGGGGGTTGGAGGGAGGACTGAGGCAGGAGGATTCCAAGTTCCAGTCTAGCCTGGTTTGCACAATGAGATCGTGCCTTTAAAACCAAGGACTGGGCGCTGGAGTAATAGGTGAGCGCTTAAGGGCATTGCGCCCTCCCAGAGGACGGCTTCTGCTCTCAGCACCTTTGTCAGGCAGCTCCCAACCACCTGTGACTCCAGTCCTGGGGGTTAGATGCCCTCTTCTGGACTCCAAGAGCACCGCATTCACGTGGTGCACGTACCCACAGGCACACACATAAATCTTAACAAACCAAAACGATCAGTGCAGCTTACTTGTACTTGCTTAGGAAGCACAAGGTCTCTGGGGCGGGGGTGGGGTGGGGGCAGGCCCCGGAGATTCCGTGTGTGACAAGGCCCTCTGAGTCTTCCGAGCCAACTGCATTTGAGAGCTGGCCCGTCTCAGCGGCCTCAGTGCACTTGAGCCTGAGGAGCTGGGGGCTGATGGTTCCGGAGCCCCAGAGAGCAGGCCCTGGAGAGCCAGCCTGTTCAGGATCTGGCAGTTTGAGGACTTGCTGAAGCGTATCCCAGCGGCAGCCAAGGAGGAGTCCCCGACCCCCATCTTTAACCCCCACGGTCTGGTTTCCCTTCACGGCAGGATCAAACTCTTGGAGAGTGACTCTAAAGCAATTTGCCAAGCGATACTAGAGGCCGGCCGATTCCCACTACTGAGCTTTATTTAATTACGAGTTCAAATCACACAGAAAATAAAATTGTCTCCTTAAAAGGTTCTGCGGAAAAATGCTGTCGGTGCCATGCGGCCGCCTCCGTGGCTGTTTGTGTCTGAAGAAAGGACTAGTCTGACAGGAAGAATTACAAATCTGGAGCTCATTTTGGCGTCCCAGAGGGAAGGTGGGTGGAGCGTCTCACAGTAAATTAGGAATTCAGAATGAAAACGGAGCTGAGTTTATTTGGGTTTTTAGTGACACCTCGAAATTATTACACAGGCGTGTCGGAGACAACTCAAAGTACCTAGGACTGCTCCCGCTTCGCCCCGGGGCGGGATGCTCGGTAGGGCAATCCCCCCCTCCTTCGAAACCCTAGGGACTCTCTGCTTCCACGCGGGGTCAGGAAGGGAGGGAGGGAAGGAGGGCAGCAGGGATCCCCGGTCTGGGTCTGTTACCGCGGCCGAGAGGCAGCGGCCAATCGGGGGTGTGGCTGAGCTCCGACTCGGGTATCCGAATCTGGGATCCGACTTTGGGACTGGAATTTGAGGCGACAAGATGATCCGGGGTGGATGTGGAGAGCAGGAAGAAATCGGGTTTATCTTGCAGGGAGACTGGAAGTTGAGGCTTGGGTCTAGGCAGGGGAAGTTGGACGGCGGACGGCACTCAGGGTCTGAGCGGCGAAGAGTTGGGCTTTGCCCGGTGCAGAGCTGCGCAGGGGAAGTCAGGGTGGGGTTGGGGTAGAAGAAAAGAGCGTGCAACGGTCACAGTCTTTCCCTAAGCAACTCGCACAGGCACACCCTGCGCTTAGCCGGGACTGCGGGTTCCGTCTGGCGCGCTGGCTGGACCCTGCCCCCACCCGCCGGTAGAGCGCCAGTCGCCCCGCGGTGGCAGGAGTAGGGGCGCCCAGCGGTGCGGGGGCGTGGCCAGAGGCCCAGCAGTGCGGGGGCGTGGCCAGAGGCAGAAGCCCGCGGCCGCTCATTGGCCACCCAGAGGCCCCGCGGGCGGGGCTCCCGGCTGGGTCCCTCTAGGGCGCTCTCGGGCGGCGGGGGAGGCGGGGTCGGCGGGAGCCGGGCAGCCAATGGGCGTGCGTCCCTCGAGCAGTTACAAAGGGCCGGAGCGAGGCCGCGGCGGCGGCGGGGAGGTGGGGCGAGGCGAGGCGAGGCTTGTTGAGGAGA